AGGTTCCAGGCACGTTTGATCAGCTCACAAAAGTCAAGAAGATACAGTTTCTTTTCCGTCAGACTGAGGGACATAGTGATTCCTAATTGGGAGAAATGGACAGCATCCTGCGCAGTGTCAATCTGAGCTCCCAACGTACGAAAAACATTGTTTGACAAAAGAAAAGGAGTCTGAGAACCAACAATACACACTTTCACATTCCAACGACCCAGAGGGATCAGAAGTGCTTCTCGGCAGGACACTGTTGAATTGTTGCCAAAACGAAACAAAGTCTGACACGGAACCTTTCTAATGGCAGACGTCACATCGGATGGCAAATGGCTCAACAAATCTTGGACAAGGCTTTGACCGATGACTGTTTGGCTGGCTCCTAAATCAACTATTCCAAAAGGTCCGTGACTTGCAAAAGTCGTCACATGTTCAAGTCCTGTTTGGACACATGCGGATGGCCCAGACATCAGAGGCTGGAATGAAACGGATTTCACATCAGCAGGCGGCTCAGGAATGCATTCAGGCCGAGGGCTCAGGCGGCTCTTCAGTGTGGACACGAACCTAGACAAAACTGGTTGAGACAACACATTGAGGCTACTGGACCTACCCTCATGAGCTAAGCCTACAAAACAATCATGAGTAGAACATGACATGTCGACTTTCAGCTGAGAAACTTCTTCAAAACCAGACATCAAAATCATGTCATCGACCTCATCCGTGGCATGAATCGTCTCGACTGTTCCAGCAAAGGCGTTACCGCCACCAGCACTTCCAGAGGCAGTTGTGTTGTTACCCACTCGGTTGAGTGGGCATTCGGCCTTCCAATGGCCTTTCTGGCCACACTTCCTGCACTCAGAGTTGAGGATCCTCTGAGCAAGAGGCTTTCGGAAACGACTGTTGCTCTGAAACTTGCCTTTGCCTTTTCCCTTGTTGAAACCTTGACCACCTTTGGAGCTGTTCCAAAAACCTCGATTCTTGTTGCGATCTGTCAAACGCTTTCTGGCATCAAGGTAAGTATTGAAACAGCTGGCCAACTCAGTGTCGCTCTGGAGAGCATCGACAAGGCTTTCTTCGAATTGAAGACACACAATGGCGTCCGGATCACTTTCATCATAACAAAGATCACCTTCGTCCCAGGTTTCACCCATGAAAACGGTGTCATCATCAGGAAACGACTGTGACACATCTTCTTCGAAAGCTGCATTCACATCATAGGTCTTGGTACGAGAAAATGACTTGTTACCCGATTGGACCTCATGGAAGAATTTTGATCCCAGAAGCTTCAGAGCTGACGTGATCTTCTGATATTTCAGGTCTCCATCTGCATCAACGATGAGCTTCTTCTTGTCTTCTGCGCCTAAACCTGAGTTCCTCAAAAGGACATAGGCACGGATCTCTTCGAATCCAACTCCCATTTGCAGTAACTCCTCAAACTGGTAATCATGTCTAGCCATATAAGACTCATGAGTCTCATCTGTTCTTTGCACTGTGGAAAATATGGCCCTTTCGAACCGTTCGAACTTGTCTTCCAAACGGCTCTTTCCCCAAATTCCACCCAGCGTGGTCACCAGCAGTTGAACTCCACTCACAGAGTTGACACGAAGTTTGTCAGGATCCAATCGCATCACTTTCTTGAAAGCACTTCCTTCACAAAGCATCGCAGCACGAGCACCTAAATGGGACAAATGCTCCGGAGGCCACAGCTTTGAAAGGAATTCAAGCTTCTTTGCATATTCATTAATCTCAGTTTCCCCAGGTTTAAAGGCTGGAATCATTCCCCATGGTAAGTGGGACAGTGATGACGTCGAAGAGGTTGTCGACGACAAAGATGGCTCAGCTGGTTCAGATGTAGCCTCAGGCATACCTGGATCAACAAGGCTTTCGGCGGATCAAATCACTTGTCACACCGGCCTCTTGGTAGCTCCGCTACCAGTATGGTTCCCCACACTGGTAGCCAATCACAACTTCAATAAGGACCTCCTGATCCAACCAAAAGGAGTGGCCGCACTCACCAACCTGTTTTCCAATGGCTGCGCACGAATCTCCAATCGAACGCAGGGCGCCCGAGCCCTCGGCTCCCTGAGCCTGATCCCTTCGGTCCATCCAAGTGTTCACCCTAAGGAAATGTTACCCAAGCAAAGACAACACATTGTCAAGCAAACTCCTCTATGCACTCAAATGTTCGGTTATCAGGTACAGAAAACACAATATGTATATGTATATATGTATATATATATATGTACATATGTATATACATATATATATATACATATTACGAAAGCCAGCTGTCAAGCTTGGCTGAAGTTGCTCTTTGCGAACGAAGTGAGAATAGGGGGTCCGGGGGGCGGTCGCTTCAAAACGGACCATTTTGAGGCACTTCCCCAACTGAATAGGGTGGCCTCCGTGGTCGATTTTGAGGCTGATGTACCAGGTGGCAATTGGGTGACGGTGGGGTTCGATTCCCCCCTGGTCCGTCTAGTGACGTGCATTGGGGGCACGGAAAAACGTGCATTGGTGGAGGGGGAAATGAAGCAAGAATGGAGTCTCACATGGTCCACTAGTGCAGCATCGGCTTTGCAGCTGCTTTGCAAACTATTGCTGTCTCGAACCATCGCTCCTTTTTTGTTCATAAGTATTTTGTAGCCCAACTGCATGCATGGCTTCAATGCCGGCTCCGATTTTGCGGTCGCCAGAACGGGTGTCTGATCCGAAAGCTTTGCAATCACATGTGTATAGCCATGTGTAGCCCACAGTTTTGCAGTATTGCGGCTTGCAACCAGACAGCATTTGATATCCACTGGACGGGATTGGATGTATTCCACCAGTTTACAACATAGTATCGTATCATATCGTGTATAGATTACATATATATATATATGTATATGTATGCATCTATGTATATATGTCTACAAGATGTCAATATATTTTGTGGGCCACTAGATTTTGATCCCGACAAACATACCGAAATGAAGTTGTAATTGTGATTCTCATTTATAAATAATTTTGTTGTCATCCTGTAGTGGATCATGTTTAATTTCTCGGAGGTTATACATACCCAAAAGTGACCTCCACCTCCTCTTTTCGAGCTGTTGTCGGTCTTGAACGATGCTAAGAATTCTAAACACTTTATAAAAAGTGTTGAGAATTGATTTGCGGTCTTGTAGAGCCCAGCATGCGCGTTCGTTGGTCTCTATTCAGGCATTTCCGGTGACATACATACATACAGACATACAGACATGCATGCATGCATGCATGCATACATACCTACGTACGTCTGTATGTACGTACGTACGTACGTACGTAAGTACATACATACATACATACATACATACATACATACATACATACATACATACATACATACAGAGAGACAGACAGATAGACAGACTGACAGACATACATACGTACATACCACATTTTTTGATGGGACTGATGGGTGGCAGTCGTCCAACGTCGCACAGCAAAGCTCCAATAAACACCTCTATAGCAGGCATGAAGACTCCAAGGTAGTTTGCCGGAAGTTGCTCGACATAGCTCAACTTTGAAACTCTGAGACATCGTCTCGTCATGGATTCTGACTAATAGAAGCTAGCAGATGAAGAACTTGATACACACTTGGATGAATCCACCATCTGCAGAATCTACTCGTACTGGTAATGTTTCTTACTTTTGCATGGCTCCCTCTTAGCTTACCTTCAGCAAAATCTATGGAACCCCATCATTGTCATACTTGATGGAAAGATTAGAAAATCCCATTGTTTCCTGTTCCCGTGGAGTGTCAGGTGTGCAGTGAAGAGCCAGGAATGTAAAATATAACTTGTACAGTATGAAATGTAGGGGTGTCGATTCTATAGTATAGACTGTAAAGTCTAACGTCGAACCAGTCCAGTGTGGAATGTAAAATGCCACATATGGAGTGTCAAGTATAGTATGTCAAGTCTCCTGCACATTCCTTCCCTCTCCCCACGGATTCCAAAACGGCACTCAATATAGCCTCGCACTGCCGCCTCCTCCACCAACCCCCGACGAAATCCCTCCCATCCTCTCCACTCTCGTCTCCCCGAGTTCCTGGCTTTCGCCCCCTCTTCTCAGGTACATATATATATATATACATATATATATATATACACATATATATATATATATATATATATGGGGGCTGACGCTTGCTCGAAATCCACGGAATTCCATGTGGGACTGCAATCTGCTATGTTGTTTCGGCGCGTGTTTTTTCCAAACTGCGCGCATATGAAATATTGATATTCCATGCATCTAAGTACATTTTTGCGCTTGCCTAAGGCGGTGCCAAAATCACCTTTTGAACCATGTCGTAAACATATCCTCCGTAATTTACAGTGTTTGGAGCGTGAACAAAGACCTTGACAAACCGCGAAACCTTGAAACGAAACAGAAAATAACCCAACCCGAATAAATCCTAAACAAACCCTAAACCAACATAACTAACCCTAAAGAAACCGTATAACAACCCTAAATAAACCCTAAAACAACCCTAAACTGTACCAAACATTAATTAATCAAACCTTAAATAGACTCTGAACCAACCCCAAAGAGAGTCTAAACCAACTTCAAGTAAACCCTCATACAACCTTAAACAAATCCTTTAACCGCAAAGCAGCCAAACCCCCACTTATATAAACTTTGGGCGAACGTTCGTCCCGGACAGATATATGTATATGTATATGTACATGTACATGTACATATATATATATACACATGTATATGAAAACATCATGAAATGCGGGCAAACATCCGCCAAAGGATGGTTGTCCTTGTTTCTTGCAGGTTACATTGGCCGCTGTGGGACTTGTCGCCATGAAAGATCCATGCGCATGACTGGTCATCTAAACGTAGGCATAGGCCATCTACACATGGGTAGTTTGCCATGGCCATCTTACATTGCCAGAGGTTAATTGTATTTAAGTAGAAAACATGCTTGCCACATCTTGCCACCAAAAACGGATCTCAGCCCTGCTTGCCAACCCCATCAGGAAAAGAGTGTCTCCCCAGACGAGTGCATCGTCTTTCGACAACTTCGAGAAAGGAAGGGCGGCGCTGGACCTGCAGGTGGGAAACCACTGGGTTTTAGGCCCTTGGAATTTCGAGAGCCAATTTCTGTCATTGCCCCTCGCATTAGATTCCCCATTAAATATTATCCCTTACGGTTTTATACTTCAAACAAAACCAGTTTCGTACTAAAAGACCAGCCATAAGTACAGACCGTTGGTTTCTTAACCCATAGTTTATAAGTAAAACACCAAGCATTTCCATGAGAAACCCATGGTTTCCGGTTGGTCAGGTGGCATGGATGACGACGAAGATTACAACGCTGCTAGGGGCGCCACCATCGCCCAAGCGGCAGCGGATGGAGCGCTCTTCGCGGAGCGTTTGGCAAAGGTGGGGTGTATTCGTTGGGTGTTTTTCTTGGGTTACAGCCTCTGGTAAACTAACAGTTTGCTATGGAAAGTCACCATTTTGCATAGGTAAATCATCGGACGAAATAGTGGATTTTAGTGTTTACTGGGTTATAATGGGGATATGACAGGATATTAAAGTTGCGATACTCTCTGGTAATTTCACAGTTTGCTGTGGACGATCACCCTGAAATAAGTAATTTTCATTATTTATATACATATATATATATGTATATATATATATGTATATATATATGTATACATATATATATATATATTATACAGATCATCGAACTAAATATGTCCCGCAGCTATGTTAAATTGCCGGAGGGTCTGGGGGTTCTTAAAATGGGGACTTGACCAACAAGCTGGGGTTTAGCCAACAAAATATTGCAATGCTGTAGTATTTCAACCCATCATAGAACAAACAAATGGTTGATATAGGATAGACATTTATTGTGAAAAGAGCGTAGAATTGTATTGGATAATGGAAGATAAGATTATTTTAGGTCACGATAGGATGCGAAGCCAGCAAACATAGTATTATAACTAAGCATAATTATGGGGCTACAAAGCCTTTAGTGGCAATTTTAGATATGCGGACAGAATGGGATACACGGAGGTTTCTCAAAATGGAGAAAACACAAACCATCAAAACCATTTCATTATTAATGGGGAGACCATAGGTTTTGGGGCATGGATACAGAGAATTTCAGTGGGTTGAGAGGAGAAAAAAGTCAATTGGGATGGTTGAATTCAGAATCACTTGCGTACGTAATATGGATCATTGTGGGGTTGAGAAATGACATTGATAGCGGATTGAAACTTACAGTATCTCATTGGTTTGGTACATGGACATTTTAATGCTGGTGGATTGAATGTGGATCGATAGTGGACAAATTGGTACATAGTGGGTTTCTGCAGTTGAATTAGTTGAATCATGGATTCCGAGAGGTACCACTCGAGTGTTCATTTGAATGCACCCTGTGAGGTACAACAGATGACGGGCTTGGCTGACCCTGTCTATGTGGAGGCCTTCCTCCAGGTCCACTCTTTCGACCTGATGTTGGAACTCCTGGTGGTGAATCGAACCAACGAAACCTTGCAGAATGTTTTGGTGGAGCTCAGTACACAGGTGTGCGGCGGTTGCGGCCGGGGGGAGGTCGAAACATGGTCCGTTTTTTTTTGGGGAAGGTTTGAAGGTCTGAGGTCCAAAGTTTCGCAGGTTGAATTTATGATAGATTTGGGTAGAGAGGTGATTTCTAGTCTGAAATCAAACCATGTTGGACATGCCTCGGTTTCCGGATTCGGAGAGATGCTTCCATGTTAAATGTACCGTGGAAGTGAACTCCAATCGACAGGGTGACCTCAAGATCGTGGATCGGCCTTCAGCGGTGACGCTTTCTGCAGGCGCCGAAGCTTGGGTGATGCGGTAATCTTGGTCCAGACAAGTGGATTGCTGAAAATAGTTTACCCACACCCCACCCAATCCCATCCCATCCCATCCCATCCCATGGTTTCTCATCTTTTTTTGGTTAAACTTGGCATTTTGGGTATCTCCTATTCTCGGATGGTCTAAGCAGCTTTAGGATTTTCTGGGCAGTCTCAAAGATACAGCAAACCCTGGGGGTACAAGCTTCTACAGTAATAGTGGGGATGTAATCAACTACAGCCAATATGTAGATATATGTTTTGGATGGATTGAAACGACAAACCAGGAAGTGCAAGATTGATGCATTTCTGGTCTAGAATTGCAACACCAGATTCTGGTTTGCTTATGGACAGATTGCCTGCCTGTATTTGATTAATAATGTACCTTCCACATAGGTTGTGGGTCATGTGAAGCTTTCCTGTAATTCGGATTCAAAGTTTTCACAACGTGGCCTTAACCCCTTTCTCAACAGAGACCAAGACCGAGACCGGTGCAGGTCAGCAAATGACCCTGCATGCGTCCATCAAGGCACGGTGCTGTCCTTCGCATGTTGCGCTTTGAAGCTCACAGCATGGCTGTCAGGTCGCGTCCACAGAAACTGGCATCATTTTCGGATATGTGACCTTCGAAAAGAAAAGTGCCGCAACTCGTCTGCAATTTTGAGAGACTTTGACCCACTTGCCCAAGCATCAGACCCGACGCAACAGAAGAGAGGCTGCAGAAGTCTGAGTCACCCAAGAGAATGCCTAATTATGATTGATTACTATCTATGGTACTATAATAAGACATATATAATAAGACTATCTAATTAGGATTTTGACGAGGCAATGTGTGAGGACAAGCAGAAGCCAGCATGATTTTCAGTCTCATTGGATCACTCCTGACGGGTCCATCGCCATTTCCAAGGCCGACAAGGAGTGCTCTGTGAGACACTTAGCCACACCTCACGGCCTCGTTGAGACCATGTTGGGATGTTGGTGTTGTTATGCGGGCTGTATTTTTTTCGTGCAAAATTTGGGTATGTCTGAAAATGGGGTATACCCCCAATTATAGCCATTTAGTAGGGATAGTGATCATTAACCATTGGGTGTAGGGGTACACTATTTTCAGACAAACCCATTTAGGGATGATTTTGAGGACCACAATGGTTAGACAGTTAGACCCTTTCGATGTGCTGAGGTGCTGAATGAGCTGCATGTGGATATTTTAGATTATATTGAGAGCATCTCGGTGCAAGCTGGCTGCGCTGATCTTGAACAAGGTAACACCGTTACAGAAAAAACCTGCACATCAAACGATGGAAGAAGACATCATATCTGTTCAACATTTCCTTGGCATTTTGAAGTGCTACTGTCACATCTTCGTTTCGTTTGAACCAAAGAGATCAAGCCGAGGATCCTGGATTAACGAGCTGGCCTTCCGAACCATGTGGTCAGAATTTGAGTGGGAGAACAAGGTCAACATCAACACCTCCATCACCGAGGCCTTGGGGTAATGATATTGTGTTCCAAATGGCAGGTTTTCGAACTCATGATATCATTTAAGATCCCATAATGGATGATGGGACAATTTGCAGGAAAATCCATTATTGAATGGGTTAAAACATGTTAAAACATATGGTTTCCCCCTAAAATATGGGTCCAAGCCATCTCACGATTTTTTTGGAAGTGCCTTGGCACCAGCAACGGAACAATTGTGAGGTGGGAACCTTCCTGGAACACATTATGCGAAATACCAACATGTCCATTGTGGGCAGAAGCTACAAGAAAACTGGCTGGGAACTCAGAGAAACCGATGATAGGAAAAGAATGGAAAAGATGGATTCATATGGATTCATATGGATTCATATGGATTCATATGGATTCTCAAGATACTTGGACTCCTGAGCTTGATTTAGCCAGCGCTTCGGCGCTGCCCTGCTAGAGCACCAATCCAAGACTTCTCAGGTGACAAGAACCAGAAAAAGGGCAAACTCACTGCAGAAGATGTGCAAGAGATGTTGCGGGATGCAGTTGGGACACTTGTCCTAAACTTCCCCCTGTTTGATACTCGTGAGTCCTAGTTGTTTTCCTTTGAGCCACATTTTGGAAGTTCTAAAATGAAACTTTGTTTCAATCCACTTCATACTCAGTTGTTCACTTGTGGCGGTGGCAGTGGGACTGCTTTCTTGACCAAAAGTGAAGGATCCTCTCCTCCGAGAATTGGTTCAAGGAAAATTGACGGTTGAAGCATGTTGACAGCCCATATTTGATACGGAACATCGTTTCCTGTGAAATTTTCTCAAGAAAATGCCCTATGAACCCCTTTTTTTGCCAGGGAGAACCACCGGAAATCCATCGGTCCCATATTCTACCAGGATCAAGAAGCTCATTGACACCTCCAGCTTTGTGGCCGTGAATCTCTATGCCAAGTCCATTTTCGGTGAGGACCTTCTGTCGTGTCGCATGAACGACATGATGAGTAGCAGCTAGTAGCAGCTGAAGTACTACCATCTGGTTATTTAACAGTTCGCCATGGAAAATCACCATTTTTAATAGGTAAACCATCTATAAATGGATCATTTTCCATGGCTATGTTAAATAACCAGATGGTATCTATAAAAAACCCATGATAAACCACCATAGGAAGCACTGGAGTTCATGTACAAATTGATTGGAGGGTTTATACCCACTATCACTGCTATCTAATTATTGTTATTAGAATTGTCATTATTACTAGGGATTGACATACCCATTGTGAAGAACCATACAAACTATCGTAAAATTGGTTCTTATTGTGGTTGTGGTTGTGGTTGTTGTGGTTGTTGTGGTTGTGGTGGTTGTGGTGGTTGTGGTGGTTGTGGTGATTGTGGTGATTGTGGTGATTGTGGTTGTTGTGGTTGTTGTGGTTGTTGTTGTTGTGGTTGTTGTTGTTGTTGTTGTTGTGGTTGTTGTGGTTGTTGTGGTTGTTGTGGTTGTTGTGGTTGTTGTGGTTGTTGTGGTTGTTGGTTGTGGTTGTGGTTGTTGGCGTTGTTGGGGTTGTTGGGGTTGTTGGTGTTGTTGTTGTTGTTGTTGCTGTTGTTGTTTGCCAGGATGCGCTTGCGAACATCTCCATCGAGAAGCTTCCTGACGGGAAGCTCACAGGCGGGAACTGGAAGAGCTCGTGATTTCACATGGATTTTCATCATTAAACATTGGATATATCGGGGATACAATGTGGTATATTATATATACTATATATATATATATACTGCGAGGATCTAGGCAAAGCCTTTTTCAAGCCCCTGTTGGGGCCACTTTAGGCCAAACTTCAGGCCAGACCTGTAGGCTTCTTGAGGCATTGCCCACCTTTTAAAGGGCATGAGCAGTGTGCAGATGTTGCCTTTGGAGCCAAGTGTGTTGTGGTTTGTTTTTTCCCACACGGCCATACGGGTCCTCAGATGAGCATGCAACCATTGCTTCTGACCGTTGCTCGTGTATATACATACACACACACACATATATATATATATGTATATGCATAATATCCATACAAATATATATATATATATAAATGGGCTAATGCCCTGGTGCCGCCGACCCCCATTTGGAGGGCCATGGTTAACCGATGTTATCCGATGTTATCCTGCACACAAGTGCCCACTGTGTGGGACGGTTGTGTGGTCAGCACGTGCTACCGGACGAATCCACGTCAAGCATAGCGCACCATCTGGACGGCCCTGTGAACGAGAAAGGTGGGTAGCAAGGTAAGGAACCCAACGGAGCTTCTGACACGCATGGCAAGACCAAACCCAATAGAGACAGGTCTGTGACTTGGCAAGGCGCTGGCAATGGAGTGAACCTGGAGAGAAGGAAATGGATTATTGCCACGTGGCAGCGCCAAGGCGCTGGCAAACGGCTGGCGCTGCAGGGCAACGTGTTCGCGGTGACTTGAGAAAGCAGTGGCAAAGCGGTAAAGGCTCACAGCGGGGTTTTGTGTCCTGATGGACCGTGCTTCACGCAGGTTTTGACACCCTCTAAATGAATTCTGGCGACATGGCCAGGCGCTGCGGTGACCGGGGGAAGCAGTGGCAAGGCGGTAAATGGATTATGGCGACATGGCCAGGCACTGGCACAGGGCTGCCGCTGCAGGGCAACGTGTGTGCGGTGACCTGGGAAGGCAGTGGCAAAGCGGTAAAGGCCCACAGACGGGTTTTGTGTCGTGATGGGCCGTGCTTCGCGCACGTTTTGAAACCCTCTAAATGGAGTATGGCGACATTGCCAGGCGCTGGCACAGGGCTGCCGCTGCAGGGCAACGTGTTCGCGGTGACCTGGGAAGGCAGTGGCAAAGCGGTAAAGGCCCACAGACGGGTTTTGTGTCGTGATGGGCCGTGCTTCGCGCACGTTTTGAAACCCTCTAAATGGAGTATGGCGACTGGCCAGGCGCTGGCAAAGGACTGCTGCTGCAGGGCAACGTGTTCGCGGTGACCTGGGAAGGCAGTGGCAAAGCGGTAAAGGCCCACAGAGGGGTTTTGTTTCCTGATGGACCGTGCTTCGCGCACGTTTTGAAACCCTCTAAATGGATTACGGCGACATGGCCAGGCGCTGGCAAAGGGCTGCTGCTGCAGGGCAACGTGTTTGCGGTGACTTGGGAAAGCAGTGGCAAAGCGGTAAAGGCCCACAGACGGGTTTTGTGTTGTGATGGGCCGTGCTTCGCGCACTTTTTGAAACCCTCTAAATGGAGTATGGCGACTGGCCAGGCGCTGGCAAAGGACTGCTGCTGCAGGGCAACGTGTTCGCGGTGACCTGGGAAAGCAGTGGCAAAGCGGTAAAGGCCCACACGGGGGTTTTGTGTCCTGATGGCCCGTGCTTCGCGCAGGTTGCGAAACCCTCTAAATGCCTCTAAATGGATGGAGTGGAGTATGCCGATATGGCGACATGGCCAAGCGCTGGCAAAGGGCTGCCGCTGCAGGGCAATGTGTTCGCGGTGACAGGGGGAAGCAGTGGCAAGGCGGTACATGGATTATGGCGACATGGCCAGGCACTGGCACAGGGCTGCCGCTGCAGGGCAACGTGTGTGCGGTGACCGGGGAAGGCAGCGGCAAAGCGGTAAAGGCCGACAGACGGCTTTTGTGTCGTGATGGGCGGTGCTTCGCGCACGTTTTGAAACCCTCTAAATGGAATATGGCGACATGGCCAGGCGCTGGCAAAGGGCTGCCGCTGCAGGGCAACGTGTTCGCGGTGACTTGGGAAGGCAGCAGCAAAGCGGTAAAGGCCCACAGAGGGGTCTTGTGTCCTGATGGACCGTGCTTCGCGCAGGTTTTGTCACCCTCTAACTCTCTGAACGGAGTATTGCGACTAGCCAGGCGCTGGCAAAGGGCTGCCGCTGCAGGGCAACGTGTTCGCGGTGACTTGGGAAGGCAGTGGCAAAGCGGTAAAGGCCCACAGACGGGTTTTGTGTCGTGATGGGCCGTGCTTCGCGCACGTTTTGAAACCCTCCGACTCTGGCAAAGGACTGCTGCTGCAGGGCAACGTGTTCGCGGTGACCTGGGAAGGCAGTGGCAAAGCGGTAAAGGCCCACAGAGGGGTTTTGTGTCCTGATGGACCGTGCTTCGCGCACGTTTTGAAACCCTCTAAATGGAGTACGGCGACTGGCCAGGCGCTGGCAAAGGACTGCTGCTGCAGGGCAACGTGTTCGCGGTGACCTGGGAAGGCAGTGGCAAAGCGGTAAAGGCCCACACGGGGGTTTTGTGTCCTGATGGCCCGTGCTTCGCGCAGGTTACGTGTTCGCGGTGACCTGGGAAGGCAGTGGCAAAGCGGTAAAGGCCCACAGAGGCGTCTTGTGTCCTGATGGACCGTGCTTCGCGCAGGTTTTGTCACCCTCTAACTCTCTGAACGGAGTATTGCGACTAGCCAGGCGCTGGCAAAGGGCTGCCGCTGCAGGGCAACGTGTTCGCGGTGACTTGGGAAGGCAGCGGCAAAGCGGTAAAGGCCCACAGACGGGTTTTGTGTCGTGATGGGCCGTGCTTCGCACACGTTTTGAAACCCTCTAAATGGAGTATGGCAACACGGCCAGGCGCTGGCAAAGGGCTGCCGCTGCAGGGCAACGACGTGTTCGCGGTGACTTGGGAAGGCAGCAGCAAAGCGGTAAAGGCCCACAGAGGGGTCTTGTGTCCTGATGGACCGTGCTTCGCGCAGGTTTTGTCACCCTCTACATATGGATGGAGTGGGGTATGGCGATATGGCGACATGGCCAAGCGCTGGCAAAGGGCTGCCGCTGCAGGGCAACGTGTTCGCGGTGACTTGGGAAGGCAGTGGCAAAGGGTTTGGTGTCTGGTGGACCGTGCAGGCCGAGGTCCTAGCAGGCCAAAGCCGCACACCTGCGGTGATCCCAGGCGCCGCCCCGCCTGGGCCAAGGCTAGGCAGGGGTCGGCGGATATACATTATATACACACACTGACACACACATATCTATACATGTGTTTAACCAGCTGAATATGTTTTTTAGGCCACAACGAACCATTTCAGAGGGGTGAAAATGATGAGCGGTGGGCCGGTGGGTTTAAGGGTACCCAGGGTACCCTGTTTTCGGACAAAGTATGCAACCCACAGTCAGCGGGATGCAACGGAGAAACTTAGGTAGGTACATACCTTCAAGTGAGAAGCAGTATTCTTGCAGAAAAATACGTTCGTGGGAAGATGCAATACGTCCTATCATGAAGCACAGCCTCCCTCTTATTTTTCTGCATGGCATTTGTGTTTCAAGGAAAGACTTCACTTCTTCAAAAGAGCAAAATCATGTTGCCTGTTTTTCTCAGATGTTTTACAGTATTCACATGAAAGGCATATTGCACATATACCACTATGAAATGATATGTTTCTTTCAGAAAGTACTACATGTATTATTGCATGTTTTTCAATCAAATGGTTCACTCCCTTGTGCAGGAAGCTTTGTCCATACTTGCATTCTCAAATAGTGCGGTCCTCCTTCCATAAATTCCTTTACCTCTTCAAAAGAAGTTTGTACAGCTGTAAGTCCACTTGAAAACAACTTTATATTCCTTTCAAAAAGATGCTGCACCCTCTATAGCTTTGCAGAGCTGCAAATCTCATTGAACATAACTTTGTATTCAAGGCCAGGCATATAGTCGTGAAAGATTCTGTTTTGGAAACAAACTTCAAAGTTCATGCTGAAACTTGTTTGCTTAGTCCATTTTCAAAAATATATATATATATACATACATACATACATACAAAATCATACAAATGTGCCAATGGCGGTCCCATGTTCTCGTCACTCCGTTTCCTGGACTTGGCCGCTGCAGGTAGCTGCCGCATTCGATCACGCACACAGGGCATTGCTTTGTCCTTGGGCGATCGCATCACCATCGTCCAGAGGGGCGTCCAAGTGTCCAAAGAATGAGTTCTGCCGAGCCGAATCTGGCTGGTCTTTCAAAGGCCTGGGCGATGGATGGATCAAAGTTGAAAAAGACTCACTAAGATTCAAAGCCAAATTTACGGGATCCGGAAGAGGAGTTGCCGGACTTGAATTTGGCCAATTTTGGGTTCCATCTTAGATTTGGGGAGTGCACCACCCAGACATTCAGATGTCTTGCCATTTGGTTGGTACTAACAACTAGCCAAAATTCACGGTTTCCGGGTTCAGAGCATTTTGCACATGACCATAAGACATTTCCACCAGCATGATTGACACACCAAACCACTTGTTTTTTTCCTGCTGAAGATGTCGATCCTTCGACATTTGCACATCAACTGCTGATCCCCAGGCTGCGACCGGTGAGGCAAAGGCAGAGAGAAAATGCGTGGAGCAAACCTTACACCAAACAGCTGTACAACACGATCCTATTGGTAGTTGAATCTGAGTGTTCTTTTAGACCCCCCTGCATGAACGTTGCACATTGCAATCCTGCTCTCATCGGGTTTTCCAGAACAGTTGTGGCTCATCCCAGCTTCCGGCCTGTCGTACAGAGGCTTCATCGCTGCAAGTAGTGAAATCATGTGAAATCCAAAGAAAATATCTACAGACGTCTTGTATCACTGGATCAAGAGACAAACTGAAAGCCTGAAGAACTCAAGCTGTGCACTTTGTCGATCTGTGTCATATGTTATCTCTCTCTCTCTCTCTCTCTGCCGAACCGGGTTTGAATGGATGTGGGTCACAACTAAGTACCCAAAAATAGAGACGATGAACATCGCAGCAAACCACGGGTCGGCCTTCGCCATGTGCGGTACCATCCTGGCCCTCTGCGGATTGCCAGGCAGCCCACCTTGGCCCACCTTTGGTGCCAGGGTGTTCTGTAGCTACTGTAGCTGTACCAGATATATCCAGGGTTGATCTCTTTGGATGGTAGGTGCTGCTGCTCTGGGTGACAATCCTGCCTGCTGGGTCAGTTGGAAGGTGCGACGTTGGCGTCTGGTCTTCCATGGAGAAGATAACTGTTTGGAATTGGCTCAACAAATGAAGGAATTCTATCATATCATTTATTATCTATTATGATTGGCTATATGTGTACATTAATATGATGATATATGATGCAGATCACTATACAATTGGCTACTCAGCTACATACTATAGAATTGGCAATAGGATTTCCATTATTGGTATACTGTGGCTATACTTGTTTACAGGAGTTTTCACTCGGCAGTTGCAGCAACATGTTGAAGATGTGCAGCCCCTCTCCAATCCGCTGCTTCATGGCCCAAAAGGAAAGGAACACCCCGGAATCCCATTCTTTGGCACACCTTCCTTTTCTGGAAGAGGCTGAAGTTGCTACAGGATGGTAAAAAGTTCGAACTTGGGGTATTCTGGAGTTTCCAGGTACTGTACATGCAACGCCCATTTGCATAATATTTGATCAGGATACTCCAAAGTCTGAGTTTTTTACACCAAGATTGCTTGGAAACGGTTGTCCCAGAATTCCCCACAGCCAGGTGAATATCACCGAGGAAGGCGTCATCCGCGAAGCGGAGGCGTGTGAAGATTCTTGGCCGAGACCCCCAGAAGTGGGTGACTTTCCCAAGTGTCATTTTGCTTGGTGGAACTAATGTTTTTGATTGATTTTGAGTTTTTTTTTAAAACAACTTAACCAACAAAAATGGGGGAGTATAAACCAACCAGAATGGGCATATCAGAAAACGGGACTTTTGTTCGGAATTTTCACAAGAGTGGCAGGGTGGTGATACAGATCATGAAACATGATGAAGTGTTGTCTACTTGGGTAGTTGGAAGATACAGGATACATTTTTTGGGTTCTATTTTATTGAATCCCAATTTTGGAGATCATCAAGAGGTTTACTGATAGTTGAAGAGAATGTCTCCCTAAGGAGCTTCTGGTGGTGACGCTTCTGCTGCTTGGCTGAGAGTGGACAAACTGCCACAGGTGAAGAACACGAAACTCGTCCATACTGGAACTTGCCACATTTGCTGCGTGCAAGTGCCCAAGTAGAGTCTTGTGTAGCACTGCCTGTACGTAAGGAATGTGGCCATCTTTTTTGGTCTCTTTTGGATGGTCGTGCGCTTTGCGATCCATCAAACGCAGTGACGTGTCTGACCATGGGTGGAAGGATAGCTGGGTTGCGTAAAATGTCAGGATCAAATGAATTTGTTCAAGCATTCTTAGATGTTACAAGTGTTACAACCACTTGCGATTCATCTGAGAGATCTTGCACCGGTTGTTGTTGTTGTTTTTTTTTAACGTCCACCCGTGGAGAAAGCAGTTGCACCAATCACCAGTTCGGTTCCATGCATCCTGGGCAGTTTGAAGGAAAGTCGTGAATGAGAATGTGGTTTGCTGTATCCCCCAGATGGGATCGTTTTGAAGTATTGTGTAATACACATTATTACACTGTGAACACTGTGAACACTGAAGGTGTTTCACAAGAAGTTCTCATCGTTGGCCTTGAGGTGAGAAGCTCGTCAGACTCCTGAAAAGTCCAAGCACTGCCTGATTTCATTGTGGGCGGAGGATCTGGTCCCCGGTCAGGATCGACAAGGACTTTCAACCACCGGGCAGGATCGTTGAGGATCAGCAATCAAGGACTCTCAAAGAAATGCACATGGCATGGCAAAGCCACCTGTGAAGTTCTGAACCATGCGATGTAGGGATGAAGACTATCAACCAATTCGGTTGAAAGCTCACCAGCAACAGTATTTCCCAGTACTTTTTCGTGGCGCAAGCGGCGGCTTAGAAAACTCTGTTGAACCTGCATGAGTTAACAACTTTTGTTGTCCAGGCATTGAGAGTTCGAGTTTTACGGAGCAAATGCGGTTGAAAAAGCCCGAGGTGTGCTCTATGGGAAATCCCTATTGCACGTAGAACATAATTGTCAAGTTTGATTACCAGATCCAGAGTGTATACAGTCTAACTTGATCTAACTTGCAACTTGTTCAAGAACTGGCGAGATTGGTGAAAGCCATGTTTGCTTCGCAGGTTGCCCTCCACAATCTTGTTTGAGAGCCAAGCAATCACTTTTTGAGGAATTGAATACTTTCAGCTGCTGAATATAAGGTAGTACAGATAAGTACGAGCTTTGCAAAGCAGGACTTTTTTTCTCCCCAAAGACATTTTCGCTACCCCTATCAAAGAACTTCCCCTAAAGTCTCTGACCTTGCAGCCCTTTGGCTCATTTCTTTTAGTGGGCCCCGGCTTGCCAACCCTAGATGGCTAGAGGCTCTCCAGCAAATCAGGTGCAATCTCTTTTGACACCTTTTTTGGCGATCACTAGCATCAGCGAGATCTTGTAGTGAGATTCAACACGACCCAAGGTTGTATCCTTGAATGGGGCTGGATGGTCCCGCAAATACTGCAATCTGGGGCCCTGGGCACCCGACATTTGCAGCGCAGCTGAGGAACCGAAACTTAGCTATTCGAGAACGAAAAAAGGCCCCGCGACGAAGACTCGACGGTGGCCATGAAGGTTGGCACCCATGGTGGTGACTTCTTGGGATCCCACCATGAAACATGAAGACCCAAAGGAAGTGGTAGACTCTGGTAGACCAATGATGTGCTGATGGGAGATTTCCATAGATTTCCATGGTTAAAGAAAACAACCAGCTACTGAGCCTGTAGGCTTTGACCTTGCTATGTGTGGCCGTGACTGCCATGGAGGATCCTGAAGGTCGGGCCAGGCTATTTTTGGTCCACGAGATGGTCTGTGAAGGTTTCTGACCTATCTAAAAAGGGTTTCATCTTCATATACCATATCATATACCGTATATACCCACTGTTGTAGGTGACATATTCTCTGCTCTTATTGGTTAAAGCCTGTGGTGTTGCCGTGAGATTTCTATGGGATGGCCCTCCTTCAAGTCACGCAGGGGCGAATGATGCTGGGTTCGATGGGTGTAGGAGCACGGGGATGCACTGGTAAAGGGGGATGGAAACTAAGAACATTGCAACATTTGGAGATCCAACAGTAGCTTGACATAAATATATGGCCACTGTGGCACATACTTGCAAACAACATCTTTTTGGATCTTTGAACAACAGCTGTAGATCTTCCGTTCATTTTTCGCCACTTTGCCAGATACTTGTTCGTCGATCCATCCCACGTATACACTTTACATCACTTTACACTCTTTACACTTGTTTGCAGCTTGAAGACCCTGTTGCTGGGGTGATTTTGACTGAGGAAAGCAAACCAGACTTTCCCAGACGCCGAGAGTATTTGGGTATCTTTACTGCCCGATCCTCAGTCTCTAGAGGGATGATGTGAATGAATTCAAGTGGTGTATCAAGAAATATGGAATGATATGGCTATGAGCCAACATTAGGCCTAAAAGTGGACCCCAATAAGTTGCCTAATCCCACCCCAAAAATGATTATTGTAGCCCATCTGCGGTTGTGGCTACGTTTTGTTTTCCATCCCCTTCGCTTTCCGTTGCACCTCAGGAAGGTGGGAGAGAATCCGGCCGGATCACCCAGCACCGTCGAAGAAACCATCAGGAGGACGTTGTGGGGGTTTCCATAAAAGAGGATACCCAATAGCTGGATGGTTTACGAGGGAAAATCCACCTATAAATGGATGATTTGGGGGCACCCCTATCTTAGGAACCCCCCCCCATATATATAATAATGCAAGTAGTACCTGGGCAAGCCGGGGGCAGAAGTTTCAAAATTGAGACGCGGCATGCACAGACTGTGCCTTTTTGGGGTGCGGGCAAGCCTTCTGTGCATCGCAGCAACAATCTCTTGACTTTTCATTCCGCTGCCATCTCTTTTCTCATTTCATCTGATCTCATCGCGTCGCAGCTTATCTTGGAAATTGTTCATTGCATCCCATTGTCGTGGTAGTCTGTGTCATCCCATCCCATCCCATCTCATCTCATCTCATCTCATGTCTTCTCAAGCTTTTTTTCACCTCATTTCATATCATCCCATCTCATGTCTTCTCTCCCTTTCTCAGCTCTTCTCACCTGATCACAACTGTTCTCATCTCTTCTCATGTCACCTGAAAGTTTCTCATCTCTTCTCAGTTCATCTGAACTCTTCTCTTCTCAACCCTTCTCAGCTTCTCCATTCTACGCAGCTCGCCTTGACACAGCTCTTCTCAGCTCTTCACCAGTCTTCTCCTGTTAGGTCGTCTCAGCTCATCCCATCTCATCTCATCTCAGCTTACCCCAGCTTTTCTCAGATGTTCACAGTACTACTTTGTACTACAAAGCTTGCACAAAGCACTTCCCAGTACTACTTTGTACTACAAAGCTTGCACAAAGTACTTCCAAGTACAACTTTGTACTACTCTACAAGACTTGCACAAAGTACTTTACACACAACAAGCAAGCTTTTGCACAGAGAAG